GAGCATTTTTATTTTTAACCTGAATACTGGTGAAAACTTAAAATGCATGCAGCCAGCAACCGTACATTGTATACATAATTCATACAAGTTTGGGTGGAATACCTCATGTGTTAAGTAGGAAATACACCTATATGCTGTCTTGTGCATTGCTGAAGCCTAAATCTACGTCAGATGCAGAATTAGAACCAAAGAATCATATCCCATACAATAACACAATATCTGAAATCATCCTCTGTATGGATATGTCTTGTCAGAAGATGAAAACAGATTTAAACTTAGTCCTTTCTTCATGTTTACAAAGAAATGTCAACCAGCCACTCTGACAGAACAACACATAGAGTATTTTTTAGTATATATATCCTCTCCCCAACTTCATTGCAAGGAGTAAATAAAACCCCCATAAAGTATGAGCTCTACAAAAAATCAGTTGTAGATGCATTTAGTATGAAACTAAGTCATCAAACATTCAAACAAGGGATCTGAAAGATGATCTCTAGTATGATATATCCTGAATACAATAATGTCCTATACAAAATCAGAATGTGCTATACAAAATTGAGGCCCATGGGCCTTGACAGTCACCTGATTCTCATGTTTCTCTTGGTGTGACCAACTAAGTCCCTTCTGGAACTAGAATTCTGGACTTGTGGTTTAAATATTAGACTTTTTTGAGGACTCTCACTATAATATTTGTGAAACTTGTTCATAAGGTGATAAGTGGTAGGAAAAATTTTGAAGATAAAGCCTATTTTAAATAGCATGAATTTTTATGGTCTTCGTCCAACCCCCAGGCCCCAGGGAAACTAAGACAAATTTTTGTTTCCTTAATTTTGTCCATTGATGTCATAAGTCCAGTAATTTCAGAGAAAAAGCTGAAAATTTTCAAAAATTTACGTACAACAATGGACAAAAAAAGATAGCAATAGGTTACCCGAGTGACTTATGTGACCTAAAATTTAATTTTTTGATAGATTTCTTTTTCCTTCTTGAAAAATTGATGCATACATTTGTAACAGTGCATCATATAGTCCTTAGCTGTGCTATCAAAATAAAAGAAAGAAACCTTTAACTTCATTTTAACTTGATCTTTCTTCAAAATACAATGGACAACAATTTTTGCTAAATTAACCTTTATCAATAAACCATTTGATGGTTATCTTGATATGTATATAGTTAAATAATAAACCATTGTGAACCTCATACACATGCAGCTGCATTGAATTCTGTACTATGCTGTCAAAGTTAGTTTCATTGTACTTAGTAAAAAGAATATATATGACTTCATTATATTTTTACTAAAGTTGTGGTCATTAAGGGTATTTTAATATAACTACAATCATCTTTCATTGCTCTTCTGTCCTGTATGGAAAGTGATCTTGGATAGGCCATAACTATTACAAACATTTTCTAAATATTGCATCTGAATTTAGAAAATACATCCTTAACTTCTTTTATAAATTTATGGTATGAAGTTTGAAATTAAGAATTTGTTAATTGTATGAAAAAATCGCCTTATAAAAAGAACACTTTTTAAAGTTCAATTCTTTAAAGTAAAGCAATGTTGGAAAGTGAAAAAATGAAAATGTGAAAATCATGAAAAATTACATGAAAGTTAACCACTCAAAATTACTGATATGATACCACAGTCACACTGTATATAAATCCAAAAGATATGTTGAAAGATAAAGTTTATTACATGTACTTCTTGCAAATTAAATGAATTTTTAAAGAAAATAAATCTAATAATGTGCAATACACATATATTCTTTTTAAAAAGTATAAACATATTTGTTGACAAAAAAGTTGATATTTTTAACAAGTTTACCACCAAACACTAAATAGTTCATACCAAGATTTTTGTTAAAATTGTTTTGTTTTGAAACACTTAGTACAAACCAAAACAATGTGTGGTCAGAATTCTGAATGATGAATGGTATGAACATCCTGATTGCTGAATTTTAACTACTGTGAAGGTTAACATCCCACATTAGCTATAATTTTAAACTGTCAGTATCCGAATAATAGCCCAAAACACAATCATTCAACAAATACCTAGTGGGTTTATCGCTGCCATAAACACATAATGTCTCGTGCTGTGTGTGGGTTTTTTTTTTATTTCTTTACCTGTATCACTTTACACATTTCCTTCCTTTATATATTAAAAAAATTGTAAAAATGATTTTCATGCCATTTTTTGAAAGAATCCTTTGTACTTCTAATCAGCATTTTGACACTCCATCAAAACAAAATGTTCACACGAGGCCAACCAAATAATTCAGTCAGTTTTTTTTTTAGATTATGCAAATCTAAATACTTTCTATAAAAAAAAAATTCCAAAATATTTTAATTAATAAGTACCTTTGAAAGAGACCATTTCAAATCTTTACCTTTGAAGTGGGCCATTGTGGCAATAAACTGCCAGACATCATATTCATATTTCATACAGTAAACTGAATTAGACAGCTCTAATGTACAAAAATGCAGGCAGTTACGTAATACTTGTGATATTTGCAAGCTAGGGCACCAATATCTAAGATATGGTGACACAAACGTGTCTTTGTTACAAAAGAGGAAGCAGTCTAAACAGTGATAGACTATGACAGCTATAAGAATTTCTGACACAATTCTTAAGTTTCTTAACAAAGTTCCTGCAGAAAAGCCAGACTTCTACTCATTATGCAACCTAGAAAATTCCAATGACAGTAATTAATACAAGAACTCTAACTCCACACATTTTGTAGTGCAACCCAATGCATAAACTGATTTTCTATCGGATTGGTTCTAAGATTATACTGAGCAGACCTTTTTTATGAACTGCTAAGCTGCATTAACAAAAGCAATTACTTAATTTAATGTTCCCCAAGTGTCCCAAGCTTCCTTCTTTATTTGATTTATGGGCTACTAAATTTCCAGAAGCAGTTTCTTTCTATTGTCTATGACAAATGTCAGGTTGTGCAACATCCTAGATTTTTGAAAACTTTCCATTAAAAAACACATTTCTTTGAAGTTTTTTGATTGCCTTCTATATATATTAGCCACAAATCATCTTGTACTGTAAGAGGTAGACAGAATCAGGTGCCTTTAGCACAGAAGTGTGACTTACAAGCTTCTTGCATTCTGACTGTAGATAACAAAAAAAGTAGCAATAAATTATTGGAGAGCAGTCAAAGGAAAAAGAAATTAAAGTGATTATTTTATTATCATTATTATTAAAAGCATCTAAATGGCATTATATAAGGTGAATCTGTATTCCCCTACATTTTTATAAATTTTCACTAATCATTTGAGATTTTCATGAGCTACACTTTTTCCCTCAACTATATGATTGCTTAAATGGATGTGGCAGTCCATATTTAGCTTGAGAAATGAATTATTGTTTCATATAATGTGCAGCATGGAATTAATCTCCAGTGTTTTAAATGGCTTTCATCTTTCACATGTGTATTCCTTGTGACAAGACCTTTCTTTGGGTACCAACATATTTGACCTTTTGACCTTGACCTTGGAGTTTGACCCAGTTTTGCAAAATTTTACCTAACTTTAACCTTGGCCACAACTTTTGAACAGTTGGTCCTAGGGCTTTCATACTTCACATGTGTAATCCTTGTGACAAGTCCTTCCTTTAAATACCAACAACTTTGACCCTTTGACCTTGACCTACTTTTGAAAAACTTTAACCTTAACCATAACTTTTTTAAAGGTTAATGCTAGGGCTTTAAGTCATGCTTCACATACGTAATCCTTGTGACAAGACCTTCCTTTGGATACCAACATCTTTGACCCTTTGACCTTGGAGTTTGACCTACTTTTGGAAAACTTTAACCTTGGCCATAATCTTTGAACAGTTGATGCTAGGGCTTTCATACTTCATATGTGTATTCCTTGTGGCAAGACATTCCTTTGGATGCCAACAATTATAGCCCATTGACCTTGAGATTTGGGAGTTAATGACCTTCTTTTGAAAAACATTAACCTTGGCCATAACTTTTGAACGGTTGGTGGTAGGGCTTTCATATTTCACATCAGAACTGTATTTCTTGTGAGAAGGCCTTTCCTTGAATTCCATTAATTTTGAACATTTGACCTTGACCTTCATGTTTGACTTACTTTTGAAAAACTTAAGCCTTTTCTATATCTTTTCAATGGTTGCTGCTAGGGCTTTCATATTTCACAGGTATATTCCTCGAGACAAGACCTTACTTTGGGTATCAATATATTTGATTTGCATTTGAGAAAGTTTAACCTAAAGTTTGCTTAAAGTTGCCCTACTGGGGCATCAGTATTTCACAAACACATCTTGTTTCAATTGCAATCAATATGTTAACCCAGCAGATATTGCAGGGCTCTCACACCACTTTTTGGGAATGGGCGTGGGTCCATAAATATTGGGAAATTGATCAATCCTTTAGGGAAATTTGGGAAAATTATTATACATTACAATTGTAATACATTGCGTTTCTAGTGTCTGTTGTCAACTTTTTCTGCATGAATAACAAGTTCAGTTATAATATATTTAACCACATCCAACTGGGGAAAAAGGTACCTTTTTTCTTTGGAAATGGGCCTTTGAATGGCCTAAAATGTAGACAATTGAGAGCCCTGTATTAAGTTTGATCAGTCTAACCAAACTGTCATAAACTCGGAGCAGATGACTCTAAACAGTATACTGTGGAATCATTTAAATTCGTGGGGGTCAATGTTCGTGGGCAAGCAAAATTTTATTGGTTCGTGGGGATGTAATTTCGTGGGCAGCTCGTTTATTTGGTAGATTTAATTAATCAGTACGTTGACGTTGACAAAAAAAATGTTCGTGGGGATGTAAATTCGTGGGTAAGGGTGACCCACGAAATCCACGAACATTGATCCCCCACGAACAATGATGATTCCACAGTAATAGAGAAGGTGAACCCTAGAGAAGACAAAATCTTCTTCAATTCACACTTCACAAAACAAAACCTTTAAAGACACATCTAAATTTTCTGATATTTCCTTCTTTTCAGACTGCCACGATGTGCTTGCCAGAGGACACACTATAAGTGGAGTGTACTATATTACCACCACCTACTCCTCCTGCTCAATCCCTGTGTGGTGCGACATGGACACAGCTCCTGGAGGCTGGTTAGTGATTCAGAACCGCTTCAATGGACAGGTAGACTTCAATAGACTGTGGGATGAATACAGAGATGGTTTTGGCAACATTGCCTCTGAGTTTTGGTTAGGACTTGATAACATATTCCTCTTGTCTAATCAGGACTTCTATGAACTGAGATTTGATCTATGGGACTTTGAAGACAATAGAGTTTACGCTCTCTATAAGAATTTCAAACTTGATGGAGCCCGAGACAGGTACAAGATACATGCAACAGATTTTGAAGGCAGTGCCAAAAATGGTATGAGCGTGCATCATGGGATGCGGTTTTCCACTCCAGATCAGGATAATGACAATTGGCACACATACCACTGTGGTAAAGAGTGGCGAGCTGGGTGGTGGTTTAACAATTGCTGGCATTCCATTCTTAATGGTCCCTATTACAACCAATCAACTGTCAGAACACGGGGAATCTCTTGGAATGACTGGAAGCCAGAGCAACTTGCCAAGACCCAAATGAAAATACGGCCCAGTAGGTTATACAAGAGTGTGGAATCAACCAAACAGGACCAGAAAGCATCCAAATCAAAGCCAAAAGATGAGGCCAAAGCTCCAGTACAGAGAAAAGACTCACTAGAAAAGGTCATTAGTAAAGTAAAACAAAAGTCATAGGAATTAATAGACCTAGGTTTATATTAATAATCTGTATGTACAAACCTACAGCAAACTTTAATCTGTCTTTCAGCAGACAGTTTAATTTTGTTATCTTCCAGAAGCAAATCAATGGAATATTTCAGCTACCCTCTAACAAAATGTAAATTATTATGTAAGCTAAAGACATACAGGCTGTGTTTACATAAAAATATGAAGTTTATCTCATACATTCAAAGATTTATCACACATATTGTCAGTGGAGCAGACAAGCTTAGCATGCTTTAGCTGCCACTGCAAGAACAGAACAGACACAGATGAAGAATGTTTATAGATTTTATTGCCTTACAATCAAAGTTTCAGTGTCGAAATAAAAAAAAAAATTGGTGATTATAGATATTAATGATGCAATACAAATTCCTTTGTTTATTAACACCCAAAAAATCCCTGCAAGTCTAAAGGGAACCAAGTTTGCTCAGCAAATTTCATTTTAACCGACTGCCATCCCTTGATAAATGCTTGCCTTTTTGCGTTATGGTGTTCTATTAAATGTGATTAAAATATTTACCATACAATAGAACTGCTGGAAGTACCAGAGACTAAGAACAAAACTTTTTTAATTCCAAAAGAAGATCAAGTAATTCATTTATTTTCTCCTGATCAAACCTCTGAATAAATATACATAAATATATTTAAAACAAAGTTTTTCTTAGAGTCTAAGAATCTTAACTAGGTAGGTACTATTTTTAAGTATGTACTAATTCTAGCCACTTTAATGATACTGTTTCTTCTGTGTTAAAACCTGAAATCTTTTGAATCAAAAAGCATCCCTCATATCACATTTGATTCTTACTATTGGATTATAATACAATATACTTTCAACGAATGAAAAAAAGAGAGATATTATTCTTGAGTTGTCATTGCTGTTCTAGAACATTTCTGTAGCAACTCCTGGGCGCCTATCAGACTACAGAATAATATATATGTAGAAATAATGTCTACAAGGTCATACCTACATGGCACATGGAGCAAGTAGACGACATTTCTTACAGTTAATTTGATTATCAATGGATAATCTTGCCAACACATTGTCAGTTACAGTCTCTCCCTACATATTAGAATCATCATAAAATGTCCTCAATATCTAGAGTACATTAAGGTCATCTATAACCTACCTTACAATGTAATTTATCAAGATATTCTTAATATAAAATCATAGTACCATCTTATGCTCTTAGACAAAACATCAGCATACTAAATTGGTACCAAATGATGAAAATCCCTGTTGTACTTAAGGTACTCCGATCCTCAGCCAGGAAGGGTAACTCTTTAATTTATAATTTAATTCAAAAAGTCTCAAAATGAAGCTTGTAAATTAAATCCTTTCATGCAACAAGTTTCATTTTATACCTCTCAATGTGCTTCAAGGTTCTTTGAAGTTCTCAGAAAGGTCCTATAAAAAGTTGAAATTTGTACCCCATAAAAGTATTTTAAAATTACATATTTAAAGAAATTAAGGTTCATTTTAATCTAACCATAGATACCAATGTTTATTAACATGATATGAAATTAGAAGTGATTTATGGTGTTTTGCAATGCTAGGAAAATCTTTATACACTATGCATTGTAAAATGATCGAAGCAAATAGAAGAAATTGTACAAAAATTGTGCAATTCCTTCAAAAGCCTGGATACCTATGATTTTTATTTCTAAAATGCGTTTGTTGATCATATTTGAATTGGAAAATGTATAGTAGGTGTTGTTATTCGCATTTCCTGAAAATTTATTTGAGGTTTACTAATTTTACCTATATTATATGATTAACTTTGAAGATGAAGTTTGAAGAATTATTGTGGGTAAAAACACATTATTTTGAGAATTCAGAGACATTTTTGTGAGCATTTTCAATTACTCAATGCCTGATTTTCAGAACCTGAGGTTTGGAGTACCTTAAAGAAAAATTTCCCAAAATATTGTTTTAGTTCATATTTCTTCAAAATTTGCCACAGAAGAGGAATACAGCATCATTAGGCATAAGTCACTCAAAGGTCCTTCAATTATTGGGACTCTTCAATTTTACAGGGAATTAGAAATAGAGTTCAAAACTATGTTGTGTGTCAGGGAAACTTTAACATCTTCATGGATTCAAATTGTAGCCCCCCCCCCCCCCCCCCCTCTTTAACAAGACATTTAAATGCTCTTGATACACTGGTATTCATCAAGAAAGGGTCTGTTTTGGTAAATTTTTAAATCTCATTAATCTTTTCTTGTCAGGAGCTCAGTAACATGCATATATATTTCTGTAGCTTTGATTTTTGCATATGTGAAAGCCAGAACTCACATTATTGTATATGTTCAGTTGTTCACCTTAAATTTATATTACATTTTCCATCAAATCTGCAGCATTTTTGTACTTTACTATGTATTTTTAACTATTTTGTATTATTTATATGTGTTGTGAAATCTCTGCTCTTTCATATAATAAATATTTAATGACACACGTGTCAAATCTTAAAAACTAAAATATGTTCCAGTATTTAAAGAATACTCTTGCTTTTAGCTTCTTTTCCATAACCAGACACAGTAAGTTGAACCTACACAGAAAGCGGGACCTGAACAGACCCTCCTTTTTAGGGGGGGGGGGGGGGGGGGGGGGGCTTGGAAAATACTTTCAGAGATCAAGAGTATTTGAGAAACCAAGAATTAATTGGCTTGTTTGCTTATGGAAAATTTCAGAAGCAGGGCTGGACATTGAAAGATAAGGAACTTCAAGAGATTAAAGTTCTTACCATCCAGTCACCTGTAAACATAAAACTAATATTACATTGGAATCAGAGCAAATTTGTCCTATTTTCAAATGTCTTCATTCCCTTAAACAACATAAAATACCATCCTTGAAAAACTTGGGAACAGCAAAGAGAGACTGTATAATAGAATACAGTCATGCTTAGCAGCTAGCTAGAAGTCTGACTTCTCTGATAGATCCATGACAAGCTATAGAATTATGTTGTACGTTATACCCCCAAGGAATTCTATTTATTAAAAAAAATAAAAACTCTAAAAATGATAACGAACATAAATGAAAAAAACCAAAATAAGAATCCAGACAATAAATAAAGTGGGTATTTCACAAGGTTATCAGTTTCCTGTGAATTATGTAATTTTTCCATCAGTTTATACACCCAATTGCACATTACATTCCAATGTACTGTATAATTAGGGCTCTGTTCTTCAGTGCCACTGAATCTTGTGTGTTCCCACTCCACCCTTATATCAGCATTCCACAAGGCAAATGACCTTGAAATTAGTCTTTCATTCTCATATGATGTGTTGTATTGTAAAATATTATGTCTCCAAAGAGATAAAAATTCAAAGAATTCCTAAACCAAGAACAAGTTCCTAATATCAATGTTTATTTCTATGATAAATATAAATGTCAATTTCTATGATTTTGCATTGCATTAAATTAGGCTCTACAGAAAAATGGAATCCTTGACTTATTATAATACTAATCAATATCAGGAATTATGCACCACAGTAAAAGTGAAGTGAGGTTCAATATCTGTACATTTACAATATCAGCAAGAGGCCCATGGGCCACAACACTCACCTGAGTCACCCTTTGCCCTGCTGCTCTGAGGAAGATTTTTATTTTAAAATTTTCCTTTTTCATTCCATGCCATGTACAATTTTGAGTCCACCCCCATACTGTGCCTCCACCCTACCCCCAATGCATTATGATTAAACTGCATGAACTTGAATCCACACAACATGGGAGGCTTCAATATAACTAAAATGGCCTTGCTGTTCTGGGAAAAAGGATTTTTTTTTTTTGAAAAATGTTTAGAATAAAAATATAATGATAATTATATTAATGTTGGTATACTACAAAGTAATGCAAAAACAGATATTCAAGAAACGTGTTGTCAGATCTTAATCTGGACTACTAGGGGATGCTTGCATATAAGCACCATAAGGTTTTGGAGAAAAAGATTTACAATGTATCAATATTTTTCCTGTAAATTCCAATGTAAATCTTTGATCACTTCATCATGCCCTGTGATTCTTTAGAAGAAGATTTTTTTTAATATGCCCACTTTATTTTTGTTCTTTATTACCTTCCCTTTCAAGAGGGCCCAGTCTTCCATTTGAACAAAGATGTGAATTACTTTTACTTGAGGATGCTTTATAAAGTTTGGTTGAAATTAGCCTAGTAGTTCTAGAAAAGAAGTTGAAAATGTAAAAAGTTTACAACGAAGAAAACTGACTAATTTTGATCAGAAAAGCTTGTGTCTTTGTCTAAAGTGAGCTAATAAAAACCGATAAACATTAAAATTCATTGCAATGTTTTCACTGATTGACTTGTACTGCTCTCCACTTGATTCTATGGTGTAAGATAGGCACAACTTCAAAACATGATAAAATACCTCATGTAAGAATGCATCAAGAAGTGGAAATCTGAATGAATGGTAAAGTGACTCACTGGGGCTGCAAAAAGATTGGAATTTTAAATATCAGTTTTACAACACTTAACCATTGATCTCCTCCAAATGCAAAACCATTTAAAAAAAAGTCCAATACACACATTATTGGAAGTTATACAGATTGAACTTCAAAAGCTATAAATGTCAGTTCTATGCATTTCTTTGAAACATGTTTTAACTCCATCTACAAATGTAAATAGTTCCTATATAAAATTGACAAACCCTTGCAATTGACATACATGTATACATTATACATATATATGTGGATGTGACTGAAGCCAATCTGCATAGCCACTTCTACCCAGCATATAGAAAATACTTTATAGTAATTGTGAACTTGTTTTTTAACCTCTTCATCTATTTAAAAGTATATTTAACTTATTTGACCTTTTGCTGTTCTTTTCTGCAAATATAAATGTTCTCTTAACTTGATTATTTAAGGCCGATGAGACAAAGACAATTTAATTTTGATCTGGATCTGATAAGAGATGTGCTTGAATGAACCCTCTTTGGATGGTTCTACCTCTGCAATTCAAAGAGTTTAAAAAAATAGTTTCAAAAAATTCTATGAAAGACGTGAGAAGGGTAAAAGCAGCTAAGAGTTATAAAAAGATAAGACGCTGCTGGTCCTTCAGAACGAGAACTTCCTTACAAACTTTGCTGACATCAATTGCCAATTATACTCATTTTTTCATTTATAATCTTGATATTGACAGAAATCGACCATTTTTACAGTCCTGAGAATAGCTACATACATGTATCAGGTTTTCTCTATCCATTTAATCAAAATGAATTTTAAGATGATTACAGATGACAAACATGAAAGCCAGGACTAAAAATAATCAGGCTGACAAAAGTATGCACATTTCGATTCCCCCTAGTTACTTACGACTAAAAACACATGCTTTGATGAAACACATGCCACCAGAGGCTACAAATTCCTTCAGTGGCATACACATTATTTGACGCCTGAACTAAAGCCCTCATGTTCATCTACAACCTAAATACAAAATACACAGACAAACCAACTAAAATATGCCCATCTTTGAGGATGAATATTTTCATCTTTGAGCACACGGGCATTTATTATAGTCCATCTATGTCTCAATGGTGTCATGCAGTGCATAATTTCAAAGCAGCTTTTCAATTTTTGAAAACAGAATTCTTGTAAAAGCACTCTAAAATTTGTAAAATTATTATTCAGTCCTATAAAATCTCATATAATTTCATAGGGACTAATTTTTAGAGGAAATGGTTCATGGAGGTTTCATTTTGTGGTCGACAAGAAGTGCTGATTTGTTATATATTTGAAAAAAAAATCAGTGATTTCACAGTTAATTCAAATCAGGGTTTTAAATATGACAGTAGTAAAAGTAGTAAGTATTTACTGAATAAAATATACTCCTTGCTAATTAACCAGAATCAGAATCTCTCTCTCTCTCTCTCTCTCTCTCTCTCTCTCTATATATATATATATATATATATATTATGAAACACCCTGGATATAGAAAGCACAAAGAAATTCACTTTTATAAGGACTTTTATAACTCTTGACCTATGGAATCTGTCTCCTAGCAGTACAGGAACATCACGCTAGACCGCTCGGCCATCTAGGCAAATCAAAAAACTTTTCGATGCCAATAATGGAATATTCTCGCAGCACTGCCCCGTACTACACAATCATTGAGAATGGAAGTGAGATACAGTTATTTCAATTTTTATAAGAAGATCATTACCGATACACATTGTAATGAAATTAATTTTATTTATAAAGCACATTTTTCAACAACAATATATAAAGTAAAAACTTGTCTAATCCAGACACCAATTGTTCCAAAGAAATTTGCTGGATAAGACAACATTCTGGATTAAACAACGTTTTTAAAAAACAAGAGGCCCAGGGGCCACATTGCTCACCTGAGCACTGTGGCTAAGAAAAAAGCAAAAATCAGTTTAGTATTGCAATGCTTAAATGCATAAGTGCTGGTCCCAATCTACCCCTAAAAGGGAAGGAGGTATGATTTGAACAAAATTGAATCTACACTAACTAAGGATGCCTTTTTTTTGACTAACTGTGACTTTTTTCCTACAAGTTTAAACTTTCATTGTGGCCCCTACCTACTCCTGAGGGTCATGATTTGATCAAACTTGAATCTACACTATCTGAGGATGCTTCCATATAAATATGACCAATCATGTCTTTGCTGTTCTTGAGAAGATTTTTTAAGATTTTTCCTATATATTCCTATGTAAAACTTTGATCGTCCATTGTGGCACTGTGTGCCCCCACCCTACCCCCAGGGGCCATGATTTGAATAAATTTGAATCAACACTACTTGAGGATGCTTCCATATAAATATGACCAAACAAGACTTTGTTGTTCTTAAGAAGAAGATTTTTAAAGATTTTCCCTACGTATTCATATGTTAAACTTTGATTGCCCACTGTGGCCCCACCCTTCCCATGGGGATAATTATTTGAACAAACTTGAATCTTCACTACCTGAGGATGCTTCCATGTAAATATGACCAATCAAGGGTTTGCTGTTCTTGAGAAGAAGGTTTTTAAAGATGCTCCCTATGTATTCCTATGTAAAACATTGCCCACTGTGGCCCCACCCTACCCCCGGGGGTCATGATTTGAACAAACTTAAATCTTCACTACTTTTAAAGATTTTCCCTATGTATTCCTATGTAAAACTTTGATCACCCACTGTGGCCCCTTCCTACCCCTGGGGGTCATGATTTGAACAAATCTGAATCTACACTACCTGAGGATGCTTCCACATAAGTTTCATATTTTCTAACACAGTGGTTCTTGAAAAGAAGATTTTTGAAAGATGCCATAAATTTTTCATGAATTCACAATTGTCTCCCCTTGGAAGAAGGCGTGGCCCTTCATTTGAACAAACTTGAATCCCCTTCACCCAAGGATACTCTGTGCCAAGTTTGGTTGAAATTGGCCCAGTAGTTCTGGAGAAGATGAAAATGTGAAAAGTTTACAACAACGACAGACAACGGACAAATTTTGATCAGAAAAGCTCACTTGAGCCTTTGGCTCATGTGAGCAAAAAACAATTGAACCTATTGATAGATACAAAACTTTTCATCATTATAGGATTTCGGAATACACAGCATCCTGATTTGACAAGTTTTACAGTAAAAAGTAATGACACTGGAATTATATGAGAGACCATACAGCCAAAAAGATTCCAAATTTCTCCTCCTTCCTTTTAATAACATTAACAGATCAAGAAATCTTGTAGATGAAAAAGATATCTAAAACAAGTTTATCTCCCAGAAAAATCTTTGATATAGAAAATATTTCAAAATCATCTTTGTAAGTATAGAAATAAGGGGAGTATGCTGTTAAATGTACATGTCAGCATTTTGTGTGCATCTCAAGTGATAAACACTCTGCATATATCATAAAAATGCAAAAATCTCCTCTCAAAAGTGATATTTCTTAAACCAGTTGAGGTGCATTAAGTTTGACAAGCTGTATCTGACACATAGTCTAAGAATATGGGGATAATGTATCGGGTTGTAATGTGAAGGGTTTGTGCGGTTGATTCATAATGAAATGTGTCCTTAAAATACTAAGTCTCTTCCACCCACTCATTATTTGTAATTACTAACGCTTCAAAAAAGCTACTGTTTCAACAGGGGGATTAGTCAACTGTTGATAGCAATGACTGTTAAGATCCAAGAAAAATTTTAAAGTTCAAGGTATTGAAGCCCCTGGTGTGGATCATTATCTAATCTCTGTAATAAAATGGAAATTAAATAGTGAGTGGGCTTAAACCGCAAAGTAAACTCAATTACTTAAACTGGAAGATCTTAGACAAAATATTTCAAATTTTGAAGATTAACACATGGCCAGATTTTTTGTAAATACAATATATGTGTAAATAACAAATAATCCCTCCATTCAGTGCATGTTCACATAGCAGTGTTTGTGATAATCATTTCTTTTTACAATGTGAAAAACAAAATAAATATTCTATTACTCATTCATTAACTCTTGCACTGAACTCAAGAAGTTGAACACTCAGAGCACAAATTTTTTTTCAAAATATGTGAATTGCTGAGTCTTTTGATAGTTGGCATGTCTCCCTGATCTTAGAGTGCAGGGATATTACCTGATTATTTCTCATTAAATTTATGTGTCCAAAGCCTTAATTCTCATGCTTCTTCTTAAATAGTTTAGAAAAGTACACACTAATTTCTACTCTGGATTAAACAGTGATCAAATCATTTCTTCTGTTGTCTAAGATTACAACGAATCCACCCAACTGAATTAAAAATTGTCACAGATACTTAGGAAATTCATCCAATACACCAAAAGCCATTGTGACAAAACTCAATCCCGCAACTTGACCTCTCTCTGTAACTGATAGTTAAGGGTGGCACTCACACGAGAAAAGGGTACAGAGTAATTAGTATGCAGTGTTAGGCCTGTTTTCTAGGGGTCCATTTCATGTTTTTGTGTGTTAAGTAACTTTTCTCTACTTTCAAAGCTACTATGACAGAAGTTGTCAGACTTCTATGACCTCTACATAAAAGCAATTGAGATGTGATATGCCCGTCATTCTTTCATAAATATTTTCCTACAAATTACATAGAAATAAACTGAGTAAACTTAAAGAAGTTAGGCAATATCTGTGTTCTTGATAACAATACTTATATCAAAACATTCCTTGGCTTATCTGTGCGTAAATAAATAACTGTTTGGATGACTTCATAAAATTATTTTTGAAACTTCAAACAAAAAGTTAATTGAAAACAAATATGCTCTAAACCTCTACAAGTATTTAATCAATGGCGCCATTGTTTAATAAAGCATGTCAATTAATTGGCAGGTCAGTCAGGTACAAGACACAGGTATAATAATACACACCAGGTAATACAAGCCAAATCAGTTGATTCAATTAAAGCTATCAAAGGGCATGTCACTCAGAATATCCAGTGTGTTTGGGGGCATTAGTTGACCTGGTGCCAAGTGTTCCAACACTTTTGAGAGAATACACTACAATTATCCTTGAATGCCTTATTTATTATCCAATGTTTCATTGTTATCCTGAAACTTTTTTAGGCTGTCATTCCTCTTCTTACATTTACTACAGTACATCATTTTGTTCAAATTTAGGGAAAGTGAACTGGGAGTAGAGGCATGAGATATTGAAATAACCAATAGAGCATTGATCTTATGTTCTCCAAAAACAGATCAAAGTAAGAAAACACAATACTGCCCTACCTTGAAAACCACTTTTTTTCATATAACCAGTTACCAATGGCTGGTCAATGTAATCCCAGCCTTCCATAATCTTAAAAATCCATCACATTAGTCTGAAGTAGTTTAAGAGAATACAAACTAGCTACTTGACATATCTTCAGAAACCTTACAAGCACCTGTTTTTTCATTATTTCATGAAAAAACTAAATCTACTTAACCTTGACTTCCCACATCTGTCTATCTCTAATTGTATCACCTCTCTATATACTTGTTTTTGACCTTTAATTTAATAGTATTTTGTTTCTACTATTCCTTAAATCAACCACATAAACTGAGTAGAGAAATTAAAGCTCTGGAAGAAAATTCACACATCTCTTCTAAATACTTTTAAATAAGTGTTATGTAATATAATGTATAAAATACTTATTTTAATCCTGTGGTTTTCAGTATAGTTTAATTTATTATGCATTCCATATGCATCCCTTCATATGTAAGTATAATCATTACGTCAACTGTAATAAACATGTATATAAATACATGTATGTACTTAGTATAAGAATGGGTAGATTGCTTCTTCCCTCTAGTTTTATTTAGCTTCAAAAGATTACTGAATTTCTTGAAAAAAACTGTTATTTATTATTGTCAGCTGAAGTTTCTTGACTCCATCAAAAGGAAGAAAAAACTCACCTGTGTGAGAGATAATTGACAGAAATTATCTGCATTGGTGATTAGACTATTCTACATTGTGCATCCTCTAAATGACTACTTCTGACTGTGAGATCAGACTATTCGAACCCTATCTTTACATGACTAAACAGTATCCTCTACATGACTATACTGTATCCTCTACATGACTATATTGTATCATCTACATGACTATGTGAGATCAGCTATTCTCTATCCTTTACATGACTAAACCGTATCCTCTACATAACTATATCTGTGTGAGAGATCAGACTATTCCATATCATTTACATGACTATACTATATCCTTAGCATGACTATAACTGTGTGAGAGATCAGACTATTCTGTATTCTCTATACATAACTATACTCATCCTCTACATGACTTTACTGTATTCTTTATATGACTATATTCATTTGTATCCTTCACATGACTATAATGTACCATCTACATGACTATGTGTGTGAGATCAGACTATTTCCTTATCCTTTACATGACTAAACTATCCTTTACATGACTATATTGTATCCTCTACATGACTATACTGCATCCTGTACATGACTATATTGTATCCTCCACATGACTATATTGTACCATCTACATGACTATGTGTGTGAGATCAGACTATTCCTTATCTTTTACATGACTAAACTATCCTTTATATGACTATATTGTATCCTCTACATGACTATATTGTATCATCTACATGATTATGTGAGATCAGCTATTCTTTATCCTTTACATGACTAAACCGTATCCTCTACATGACTATATCTGTGTGAGAGATCAGACTATTCCATATCATTTACATGACTATACTGTATCCTCAGTATGACTATATCTGTGTGTGAGATCAGACTATTCTGCATTCTCATGCATGACTATACTTTTCCTCTAAATAACTTTACTGTATCCTCTATATGACTATATTGTATCCATTCCCAACTAATTTTTGGGCGAGATCAGACTTCTCATTATTCTATACATAACTTATGGTACCTTTGCATGAGATTAGACTTTTCTCTTACTTCTATATGACTTACCTTTGTGAGAGATCAGACTCTTTTCTATCCTCTTTATGACTAATCTTTTTGTAAGATAAAATTTCTCTGTCCTGTACATGACTTACATTGTGCGATATCTGACTTCTCTCTATCCTGTACATGACTTACCTTTGTGTAAGATCAGACTTTTCTCTATCTTCTACATGATTTACCTTTGTTTGAGATCTGACTTTTCTCTATCCTCTACAAGATTTACCTTTGTTTGAGATCAGACTTTTCTCTATCCTCTACATGACTTACCTTTGCATGAGATCAGACTTTTCTCTATCCTCTACATGATTTACCTTTGTGTGAGATCAGACTTTTCTCTATCCTCTACATGATTTACCTTTGTGTGAGATCAGACTTTTCTCTATCCTCTACATGACTTACCTTTGTGTGAGATCAGACTTTTCTCTATCTTCTACATGATTTACCTTTGTGTGAGATCAGACTTTTCTCTATCCTCTACATGACTTACCTTTGTGTGAGATCAGACTTTTCTCTATCTTCTACATGATTTACCTTTGTGTGAGATCAGACTTTTCTCTATCCTCTACATGACTTACCTTTGTGTAAGATCAGACTTTACTCTATCCTCTACATGATTTACCTTTGTGTGAGATCAGACTTTTCTCTATCCTCTACATGATTTACCTTTGTGTGAGATCAGACATTTCTCTATCCTCTACATGATTTACCTTTGTGTGAGATCAGACTTTTCTCTATCCTCCACATGACTTACCTGTGTGTGAGATCTTTCTTCTCTCTATCCTCTACATTATTTACCTTTGTGTGAAATCAGACTTTTCTCTATCTTCTACATGACTTACCTTTGTGTGAGATCAGACATTTCTCTATCCTCTACATGATTTACCTTTGTGTGAGATCAGACATTTCTCTATCCTCTACATGACTTACCTGTGTGTGAGATCTTTCTTCTCTCTATCCTCTACATGACTTACCTTTGTGTGAGATCAGACTTTTCTCTATCCTCTGGATCAATAACAATCATTACTAAGGATTTTCCAGTCTCCGCCATGTCATTTATATTTCCTCCTGACACCTTAGGAAATGCTGTAAAGCGTTCTCCATTTATCCATTGTTCCAAAGATGATATGGAATTATCAGGTGCTATAGAGGAAAACAGGGAATGATTCTACATGTAAAAATATCTTCAAAATGCAAATATATATCATAGTTACCTTATATGTGTGTTCATTTTATAATTTTTTCCTGTATTACTTCTTTCAATGTTTTCCTATTATCAAATCAATCTTAAAGAACTTTCTACCATAGATATTGAATAAATATGCACTTTCTAGTGAGTAAGTTAGCAATCAGATATAAATATAGAGAACAAGAAGACTAAGTAGGAAGTGTTGACTTAGAAAAACAAAACCAAAAACATATTTGACATTTTCTGAATATTTGCAAAAAATTGGTAATATGTGGTGAAAAAAAAGTTCAGTCTATCAAATCATAGTGGCAATCTCTACATTATATTTCTCTTAAATTTAAGCAATAAGACATTATTGAGACTCCTAAGAAACACTGTGCCAAGATCAGTGCAGTCACTCTGGATAAGAAGTTAAATTATTGTAAAATTTTTTTTGAGAAGAAATCAGTTTTGATTGGGCTGACTTTAATAATCTTTTTTGAAATTCTTTGTTTTAAAAAATGTTAACTTTGAAGTATTAATAGCATTTGAGCATATAAAAATCTTTAAAATTAGGTTATCTTGTACCTCTTTTATTCAGTACTTTAAATAAACAGCATCTCAAAATTCATATTTGGTTAGCAAGTGTAATTTGCTGGATACACAAACTTGAGAGCAAGTAAACATATAAAAACTGTGAAGTATACACTTAATAATTGCTGACATGTTCAAAACACGTGTATACTTATTATCAGACTGTCAGAATTATTATAAAATCTGAAATCTAAATAGACAGAGGAATGGCTTTAAAACTCTGTCCTAAATTCCTTTATGTCTGGGCAGAACATTTCTATCACATGGTTTATTTGATATTTGTGTTTTACATACTGCTAATTTTCTAAACACCTGATACTACAAGGCTGATTTGTGGCCCTGCTGAGTAGAACGGAATTTGAAACACAAGGCTTACAAATATCCATGTAATTTACTTCAAAAGTTTATATTATCAACTCATGTTTTATCCCATGATATAAATATCAAAGATTAGAACCATGTGGTTTCCTTTTTATTGATTTTCACTGTCAAATCTGATATTCTTGAGAATTATACCTAGTCATTAAACAACTTGACACAACTTAAGGATTTTTGGAGCAAGTAACAGGCTATAATAGTTTTATGCCTTGGTTATATACAGTTGCACATTTATATAGTACTTCCATCAAGCTCAAACAGGTATAATTAGGTTGTCCTTTGTTGGTTTCTTTTTACCTGTAATTATTTTTTTACCTGAATATTCAAACCAAGTCTGATCCTTTAAAACTAAGACTGCTGGAACTTTTGTTACTTTAACATCCTATCAAGAAAAGATAGATTGATTTCACTTACTGTACAATTTACAAATAGTTTCCAACAAAAGCAATTTTTAAGTTTCATCGTCAATTAACATTCATGTCTTGTATATTGTTAAAGATGATCTCTAATGATTAATGGAAACCTTCAAATTTGTGAAGTTTTTCTAAAAATCAAATGTTGAAACATTGCTATAAACAGTCAGAGCTTCATTTTCAAATTGCTCTTTTTACAAAAAAATTTATATGAGCTTCAATGTATCCTGGAATTAAAATAAGACTTTTAATAAAACCTTTGATAATGTTTTCTCTGTTCCAGCATAGAAGTAGGTCTGAGCTGCCATTTTCTCTGCTACACTTGAGTATGCTTTCTAAATGAACGAAAGTAAATAAAACTTGAACAACTTAGAATATCTAGTCATATACCCCCCCCCCCCCCCCCCCCCCCCCCCCCCCGCCAAAAAAAAAAAACATGTATAGGAAAAGATTCAGTATTTTAAAATCATATCATATTACTGTAAACAAATATTGTCAGTTGAACAGCTATCAGAGCAGAACCAATAAAAATATCAAGAATCTATGTGGCTATTCTAATATTATTTTGTACCAAAACATTTCAACTTTATATATAATCTTTCAATTTTATGTATATCTTTCAACTTTATATATAATCTTTCAACTTCATATATAATCTTTCAACTTTTATATATAATCTTTCACTTCATATATAATCTTACATATAGATCATGTTCTGTATTTCCATCCCCAATATACAGAAAAAAGACACCATCTTTGTGTTCTTGTTTTCCCTCATTAAATTTTCCTATACTGGCCATACTCCTCACAGGCGGCCTGCAGAAAAGAACAACGTGACATATTACCCTGTAAGAAATTATCTAAAGTGCAATATTTCATTACTTGTATACTTTTTCTGACTTTAGAAATAAAAAAAATTGCTGAAAGTATTAAAATTGGGCAAAATATACATTTTGGTATTTCACCAAATACTAGATAGACATGTCCAAAAAGTGGAACATGAGAGAGATATGAAATGTAAGAAACACAACTCTGACTGACAAATAATCCCAAAGGAGTTACAATGTTACTATAGTATCTAATTTATATTTAAATTTTTCACTATATGGTGCATATATTGTACTATTTATATTAGATGCTTTTTGCCACCGTAAACTCACCCACTAGCCTTTTTAACAAACTCCAGTATATCTTCCTCCGATCGTTCACCACGATGTGTATATATTGTGTCTCCATTTATGCTGAATAAAAGGATCAATAGTTCTTTGGTCAACTATCTATCTGATTTTTTGAAAATCATTTGCTACTTTCTCACATTAAGAATCCAAAACAATTATGCCATCACATTATAATCATAAGTATGCCCTTTATAATTTTTTTAAAAAACTTTTGAATTTTACTGATTTCATGGCCAATCTAACAGCTATTTTTTCAGAAAATTTGTAATAGTAATTTATTTTTTAATATTTTGTATGATTTGAAAAATTTTTACTCACAATTTAATGGTTGGAAATCCTGACACATCAAATGCTGAAGCTACTGCTGCGAAGCGTGTGCAGTCCAGCTTGGCTACATTAACAGGGTGGTTCCTCAGTGTACTGGCTACTTGTTGATAAATTGGTTCTAATTTCTTACAGTGACCACACCATGGGGCATAAAACTAAACAAAAATAAAAGAAAAAAAAAGCCAATGTCATGGCAAAATTAAACTCTTAAACTTCTTGGAATTTAAATTGTCTTAATGTATACTATATTTACAGTGCATGTTCAGATATGCCTCACATGTAGTAATTTGATAAAATGATCACACCTTTTTATCTTAACCAATGCTTCCCATTTTTTGTTATAATATAATGTGTCCTAAATAACATGCACATACACATGTATCTATTTCAGTATTAGACCGTAGTGTTTTCCACTTTATTTGTCAAGCTGGCATAGCCTATAACATAGAAATGATACAGATTCTAAGCATTGGACTTTTAAAGCTCACCTCAACTAACCACATTCCCTCATTCTTTTTCTCTAAAAAGCTGGAAAGGAATCAGATTCACGTCATTTTGTTAAACACTAAGCTTAAATTTGTCAATATGTTTATATACAATATTTTCATATATTCAAAAATCATTTCAATTTTCATCTTCAAAGTCAATTGTGTTTTTTTTAATGTTTTAAATACAATCACACCATGTTTTTATAGAACATTTTTCAGCAAAATTTAAAAAATATATATTAGTCTCTTTTTACATGTTTTGTCAATTGATTATTTAGTGATTGACCACTTGTGATGAGAAGAATATCAGTTACCTTTGATCAAGTTCTATTACATGTGACTTTATGGTTCCAATAAGCAGGCCTAGTAAAAAGGAAAATATTTAAATATTTAATAATCTTTCATCTATTTAACATTGTCACCGAGGGGAGGGGTTGGGGGGCGCTGGGGGGGGGGGGGGGGGGGGGGTTACAACAGGTACGTAAAATATAATTTTTAGCCACAATAATTAACATTGGAAAAACTCACTTACGGGCATTTTAAAAATAACCCATATACATGTACGTTCAACAAAAACCATCTTCTCTACTGAAACTTCCTCGAATTTGAACAGGTTTCTGGAAATTCCGAATGGTAATACAAAATTACCCATGAGACTATTGTGGTAAACAATTTAATATACTTTTTTTTCCTTTTGTTTGGGGTTAAGAAACTGGATCCTATTTTGTTTATTGTGTAATGATTTAATTGGGCCATGGATATCCGCTTGGGTAGCTTAGTTGGTAGAGCACCTGATTTGTGATGCAGGGGTCCTAGGTTTGATTCCTGGTCCGGCCATATATTTTCTCCTTTCCTGTGACATAATTTTGTACTGTTGACCACCCCAAGACTTGCAGGTAAAAGTCCTGCGAGGAGCAAATAAGAACTTGGATTGTGTCTTCGAGGGCAAGGGCAATTTAAATAGGGAGGAATGTAATGGTCTGGGCCATGGATATTGGCCTGGAAATCTCAGTTGGTAGACTGCCTAACTAGTGATGCAGGGGTCCTAGGTTTGATTCCTGGTCCAGTTATACAATTTCTCCTTTCCTGTTACATAATTTGGTGCATTTAAATTAACACTAGGGGTTGAAATATACGGTAGTCCGATGCCTGGGGCTAGTCATTTTAAGACTCAGGCTAGCTAATTTAAATGTAACAATAGTCTGTTGCAATCTAATTAAAATTAGATGTTCCGAATCTGCTACCGCTTCTCAAACATCTAACAACATCCCATTCGGGGTCACGTCAGAGCGACCTTTCGATGATGAATAAACATAAAAATTTTGGCCAATCAGATTCAACCTTTTGTATACAATTCTAAAATTAGTTCCACGGCTACATCTCTATATTACTGATGCTCAGTAGACTGTCTTACGTTGAATTAAAGTAATTTTGTTATAAATTGAACGTATAGTCCGCCAATCTGGCATTCTTACCTGAACAACGCAAACGAAAATGTACAAACTACTATATATCTCGCACGTCACATTCATATATAGCACGGTCTTTACCATGCATATTTTGTTTACTACGAAACCACTCGGGCGTTTATGTTTGGCAGTAAAAAAAAGAAACGCATCCGAACTATAAGCCAAGATTTCGACGACGGCGATTTCATTGGGCAATCGAAAGGTCGCTCTGACGTGACCCCGAATGGGATGTTGTTAGATGTTTGAGAAGCAGTAGCGGATTCGGAACATCTAATTTTAATTAGATTGAGTCTGTTGGACTAGCAGAACAAAAAAATTATCGATCATCAGTTTAACGTAGCTTTTCTATGTAGACTGGTTTCTTTTGACTGAGAATTTAACTAAAGTTAATTTGTTCCTGTCACAAAAGCGTTTGACACTTTTTATGTTTTCATTTTGCATGAAAATTGTGGGGCTAGTTAGTTTGAGATTTGGGCTAGTAAATTTTTACTGATCAGTTGCCCCTGGGCTAGTAGGATTTCAAGAAAAAAATCAACCCCTGAATTGGAAAATCTCACTTATGAACATTTAAAAATTAACCCATGCACATTCAACAACCCATATCTCCTCTACTGAAACTTCCTTGAATTTGAATAGGTTTCTGGAAATTCTAAATCATAAATTCTATTCAAGCTTTATTTAACTACCCTCTCTCTGACTGTATGTTACACTAATTTCAATTTTCTACTTTAAATTCAACGCAACTTTCTCATTCAAGAGTCTTACACTGAAGAACATCTGAAAAATCATACACCAATAACACAATGCATGTTTCTAGTTTCAGTTATGAAATTTAATCGAGGCAATTCTGACTACCCATAGAAATGATACGGGTCATTTTTGCAAAAAAACAAAACATTGAACTTGTGATAATACTGTTGACATTTCGGCATGAATAATAATTTTTTTTTATAGTATATCAAAATCTCCATCTAAAACAAACCTAAAACCAAGGCAATGTATAAAATTTTCATCTCTCAGCATCCCACTTCAGCCACGAATTATCTAAATATTCTTAATGGGAGAAAATATAAAACTTGAAATACCATGGACAATCAATAAAATTCCGGAATCGTAGAAGTAAATGTAAAGAATGTCACTCAAAACGATGACTAAAAATTTCATTGATTGGAATGAAAAAAACCTATAGTACATTGTAGACCTATAATTGTAGTGTTATTATTCACTTTCAAGTAACAAGGGCTTGGGGTAAAAAGCCGAGTGGAGTTGAGTGGAGTGGAGTCATGGAGTGGAGTCTGTGCATAAAGTTTTTTTTGTTTTTTTTTTTTAAAGTTTTCTCTTACAGTATTTCCTTTGCAACCTCTCTTTTGGATTTGTGAATGAAACAGGAAATGAAATAGAGGCAGCCAGAAAAGCTAGTGACCTTTAAATGTCACGCACAAGGATCATCTAGATTTTTTTTCATCACAATGACTAGTACGGAAGCCGGTAGGTGCTAGGTAGAAAAAAAAAATTATCTGGAGGCCAGATAAGTTTCTGGTGACCGCTACGTAAATAACTGACTGCCACCAGAAAATAATCTGGCGGCCGCCAGATAATTTTTAATAACTTTTCTGGCGGCCGACAGTTATTTATGTGGCGGCCGCCAGATAAAATATTTTTCTACCGGCTTCCGTAGACTAGATAATCTATCCCAAACAGACAAACCTAGTTAGAGGTGTTGACAGCTTTAATATCAAACAGATAAATAGCAAACAACTACACTTACGATTAAATTATGATGATTATAATTATTTTTAATAACTGGTTATTTATTTATTTTTATTTTTGGTTGAAATTTTACTATTAAAGTGCAAGCTGCCCTCTTTGTTGATATTTGAAGGTATTCTTTTCCTGTATCTCATTTCATTGTTATTTCTTTTTTTGTGTAACTATTTACATACCTCCCTTTTTGGGATGGGGGCGGAGGCCCCGGTGGTATCGGTAAATTGCAGGAAACACTACAGAAGCTTAATTAGATGTACAGACCCTGAAACATGCTACTACCCCCCCCCCCCCCGAAAAAAAGGCGTGTGACTTTCGTGCAAACCTTATATAGCATTTCATGTAAACTATGCAGTGTTTCGGGCAAACCGTGCAGCGTTTTTTGCAAGCCATGCAGCGTTTCGTGCAAACCGTGTAGCGAAATGTACTGTGCGTGTGGGATAGTTGCACGTATCAGGGTCTGTAGACATGGCAGATGAAAAAAAAAATTATTCCTGTCATTGAACACAATGCCCCCTCCTTCCCTCTCTCATTTCTGTATGCACCAGTCATAGCTGATGTCTGTGATCCCTCAGACACTTGGAAACTCTGATTTCAAAATAAACGTTACAATTAGTCAGAAACTAGTACATGTTGTATGAACCATATTGACAATGAAATGAATGAATGAATGAGTAAATGAAAAAAAAAATCATGACTTTCAAATGTCAACTCAACAATGGGAATTGCTTTTTGTTTTGGGTAAGAGAGACTAAGCGACCCACTTGCACCCCCATCCCAACAGGCGAGGAGTCTTGAAAGATTTAATTACTGCTGTAACGTTTCTGGGTTCGAGGATTCTGGTGCTCTACCTGAGCAATTAAAGGAATAAATTAAATAATTATTAAACTTCTCAATGAAGGACTTTAATAAGATATATTTACAACTATCCAATTCTGTCCTGGAGCGCTTGCGCTTCCTAGCTAAGTAAAGAAACATACAACAACTTGAACTATAAAACAACTAAGCGTGGGAAGCCTTATACAGGCACATAAGACTCGTTAATCAAGTTTATTTTCTCACCTACTGAGCAAACAGAACTGGCTCTTCTCGACCTCAGTCTTGAACTGATTTGGATATCGGCGCAGAGACTGGAGCTGGTCTTGTCGACTTCCTCCGGCAAACTTCGTCAGCAGCTTGACAGAGAAAGGGCGAAAATTTCAATGGACAAAAGAGGCACAGAATGCTTTTGAAACTCTTCGGAACAGATTGATCTCTGCGCCGATATTGGCACTACCAGACGTATCTTTACCTTTTATACACAGACGCGAGCAATCACTTCATAAGTGCCGTGCTTTCCCAAGAAATTTGTGGGGAAAAGCGAGTGATCGCTTATGCCAGCCGCACAGTAACAAAAGCAGAGAAACGATACTGAGTGACGAGAAAAGAAATATCCGCCATTATCTGTATGGAAGACAATTCCTTCTTAGAACAGACCACGGATCCCTTAGGTGGCTACTAAACTTCAAGAACCCAGAGGGCCAATTGGCAGGATGGCTTGAGGTTATTAGCACCTATGACATTAAGATAGAGCACCGCCCGGGTCGACAACATGGAAATGCGGATGCTATAAGTAGAATTCCATGCACACAGTGTGGATTTGACATTAACTGGGAAGAAGAGAAACCTAACCTGTCAGTGAGATCTGTGCCGTCATCTACAAAAGTAAATAACGAGGAGTGTGATAGAGAAAATAGAAGTCTATTAGGAGCACAGAAAGATAACAAAGATATTCAGCTAGTGCGTCAGTGGGTTAAAAAAGGCAAACGACCAGTATTTGCTGATGTCTCACAGTATGGTTAAGTCACTATGGAATCAGTTTGAGAGATTGAGCATTCGAGATGGCTTTCTAGTGCGACAATGGATTTTACTCCCCTCAAATCGAGAAATGTATCAAGTTATAATACCAGATTAAGAGAGAAGAAATGTATTAAAAATGTGCCACGATAATAAAACATCAGGACATCTTGGTTTAACAAAGACGTTAGCCAGAATTAGACAGAGATATTACTGGCCAGGATTACAGAGGGATGTACACCAGTACATAGCAGGGTGTGATACCTGTACAAGAAGGAAGATTCCCATCGCTAAACGGCGGGCTCCAATGCAGATCATGGCATCTGGTGTGTCTATGGAGAGAATAGCTTCAGACATTTTGTGCGAATTACCGGAAACCGACAGAGGGAATCGTCATATTCTCGTCGTGTCGGATTATTTCACAAAATGGACGGAAGCGTTTGCTCTTCCGAATATGGAAGCAGAAATTATTGCCCGAACGATTATGGAACAAGTAATAGTAAGATTTGGCGTTCCTTCCGTTCTCCATTCCGATCAAGGTCGCCAATATGAAAGCAAAGTATTTTTGGAGATGTGTCGGTTGCTGGGAATCACTAAAACAAGGACTACTCCCTACCATCCCAAATCGGATGGTATGATTGAACACTTCAACCGTACACTAATGAGTGAGTGCTTATGCCCAGGAGAATCAGAAAGATTGGGATTTACACCTTCCTTACATCCTAATGACTTATCGCTCAACCGTTCACGAGAGCACCGGGTTTTTTCCCAACATGTTAATGAGATGCAACAACGCCTTTAGATTTAACGTACGAAATGCCATCCGAGATTAAAGACCTTCCAGTGCATCAGTGGGTATGGATATTGCGTGAACGCCTAGAGAAAGTGCATGTAATTGTGAGAGAAAACATGCCTAGAGAGATGTTGCAACAAAAAAAGTATCATGATGCCAAATTATCATAGTCGTCGTTTAAGCCAGGGGATATGGCATATGTATACTTTCCAGTCAGGAAGAGTGGCTGCTCCACAAAACTGACATCTTTTTCTAGGGAACCATTCAAAGTCGAGAAGAAACTATTTGGTGTTTTGTATGAAGTTGCGTGCGATTCTCGAAGGAAGAGCGCCGTCATACACTGTGATCGGATGAGAAAAAGTGATGCACAAATAGTACAAGGAGAAACCGAGGAATATATAAGTGATAGGAATGATACTCCAGTTGGAGATCAAATGTCTCCCATCGATGTTCCTGTGGCTGAATTTGAGGAACCTTGCGCTTTAAGTGAAGAAGTTGGCTCAAGCGCAAGCAGTAGTCCACGTCGCGCAAAAAACTTACCAAAATGGCTTGATGACTACGAAGTCGACTACAGCGCTTAGAGTTTTTAAGACAAGTTTGTGCTTATGTGTTTATATGCATATTTGTAACCTGCTGTTATAATATAAATATATGGGTTATTGAAGTTTTGTTGATTTGAGTAGATCATGGTTAATACAAAGATTACTCCTAGGAAAGAAGGTCATCGATGTCCGATGTGTAATCTCAGAATTGTGAACGAGGTTGAGTGGGAGAGGCATGTGGTTGAATGCGGTAGACAACGGAGACAGAAGAAATTCGAATGCGCCGAATGTGATTATGCTACTAACAAGAAAAGTGACATGGGGAGACATCGCCGCACTCGACACAGTGAAATAGTTTCGGCGGCAGCTGATAGCGGCACAGATGATTGGGAACAGTTGGACCCAGGGAATTTGTCTTGACGAAGGTGGGTCTGTCGCAATGCCTTCTTTCGAAATAATATGACCCATGTATGAAACTTCTGTGGCAAACAAGTAACTCTTTCCTTTTCCTGCCTTCAACTTTAGACCTGCTCCTTGCAGTCTATCAAAAATCTTTTCCAGATTGCTAAGCATATCTTCAAATGATTTTCCAATAACTATCATATCATCGAGATATACCAGGCATAGATCCCATTGGAGGCCTGCAGATCTGTCTCCTTCAAACGTTCAAAGGTCGCAGGCGCACAGGTTAGACCAAAAGGCATCACATTAAATTGAAACCTTTGCGCGTTACAAAAGCTGTTTTACTGCTGTCCTCATCCTCCATGGCCACTTGCCAGTATCCGATATTCAGATCTAAGATGGAGAATAAGGCATGTCCGGAAAGGTGATCAAATGCTTCCTTTTAGGAGAGGATACGCGTCCTTAACTGTTACTGCGTTTAGTCGTCTATAATCAATGCAGAAGCGCATCGACACATCTTTCTTACCACGGAATCACGGGCGAGGCCCAAGGGATATTTGAGGGTTCTATTACATCCTTTTCAATCATTTCATTCACCCGTTTATCAACTTCTTGTAACAGATGCAATGGGATTCTCCGTGCTCCTTGCTTAATGGGTTTCTCTGTAGGGCTAGTTTTAATTCTGTGTTTAACAACTCTAATTCGACCCAG